TCTTAGCTTCTGTGTGTAGAATATGTGGTAAACACAATAATCTCACAATGGAAATATGATATGGTAAATGCTATGCATATGCTAATATTGTATTTTACTTTCCACTGCCAACCCCCTAAATAATTTAATATTTTTAGCACATAAAATGATCTTTCCAAAGTTTGATACGGCATAGCCATAATTTATATGCTGCATATTAAAAGGTCAAGTCCTTATTTGCTTTAAATAACAAATAGAAGAGGCTATCCAAAATTAGGATTACCAAAACTGTAGTCCCACCTGTATGATCTGTTTAAAACCAAGGGATATAGATCTCAGTATATTCCCAGGTACAATGTCAAATAAGAATTAGACTTTGAAAACAAAGGCTATAGAATCTGGTAACTGATTAACTTACTGAACCTAAGTACTGTACTGGCTGAGCTGAATAGAAAGGAATGAAGACAGGTTTTGTCATGCCTGTTGGGACAAAATAACTTTTGTTTAAACTAAATGTGACTCTTCCTATCCCCCTTTTAGCTGGATTTTAAAAGGAGAATAGAAAATCCTCTAGTTGTTTCTCTTCTCAAGAGAGCTTGGTTTAAATAGGAATTTTCACAAAATAAATAGGAATTTTTCTAATGACGAGGCAAGTAAAAAGTAAAATATTGGTACCTGGTGGGCTATGTTTTAAAGTACTTTAACAGCTCAGTGCATTATGTGAGATCTAGCATAATCTCACAGAGGAAGTATCAGCTTGGTGTGTGCATATCCAAGTTGATGAACAGTTATCTTTGTTATTTCTTGGAAGAATGCCAGGTGTCTATAACAACTGATATAAAACTGAATGGCAGACTTAACAGGTCTTTTAAGTGTACAAAGCACAGCTAGATAGTATCATTGTAATGTTTGGGAAAATATGTTCTCATCAGTATAAAACTTATGAGTTGTATCCAACTTAAACTCAGAGTGGACCCCCTGAAATTTATTGACTTCCGTCCTTTCTTAGAATTTAAGTGAATGGTTTCAGTGGGTCTTCCTGAATATGACTTTAATTGGCTATAACAAGTAATTTTTCTACTAGTTTCAATTTGTCTTATTCATAATTAATTTTAGCTGGATTGGAGCCTAAGAATTGTAAAAGAAAACTTGCAGATTTGGGCAGTTTACTTGTTTCACACATTCAGATTTTGAGAGATTTCATTTTTTTAAAAAAATCTCTTTATGAGTTTTTAAAATTAATGTATATTTTGGAAAGTAGAACATGTTTGTATGTATTCCAAATGGTTGCAATCCACAGTTCTTAGTACCCAGGTTTCCTACTGCATAGGAAAAGTTTGCAACAGAGGGAAGGATCCTGAGCCAAGATTACCCTGCTCTTATATTGGTCCACTGTGCTGGCTTAAGTCAAGTCCTTCAGCATGTGGGGTTAAGACTCACAGTGCTCAGGGCTACATGCTTTCTGTTTGGCCCTGAATCTATTTAACATGCAATAAAGCCTTGTCTATTATCTACACTTAATAGTTCTTCATATAAAAGTACTGTATGACAAAGTAATGGAACTTTGTAGGCAAAGCACATTTGGGGTACCACCAGTAAACGGCAGCAAATTACCAGTTACCTAATTTATTGTGTGTTTTATAGCTATGATTTAAAAATGAGCTTGTGTGTGTGTTATTATTTGCTGTTTTGCAAAACTTAGATTTTTTTAAAAAAGAAAACTGATTTTGTGTATGTAAAAGCTGTACACATAACAAGCAGTTTGGATTTTCTGCCTCAAACCCCAGATTTCAGCTGAAAGTTGTTTTCAGTATTTTGGCTGTCATGCAAAAATCCATGCTATCAGCTTTGTGTAATTAACATGCCTTTTATATAATGGGGACAGGAGCTGCTCCTCAGACTGCATGGCAGATCAGTTTTTCATTTCAGTAGGTTATGGATTGTTGTTTCTATGGCATGAGGGAAAGGGCTGTTGTGCTGTTCAAAAAAGAAAGTTAGAAGTCCATCTGGGAATATAAACAATCATGGTTTCACCTAAAGGATGTTTTTCAATACTGTATTGACTTTTAACTGTATCTTCCTCATAGAAACAAGTGAAATACTTTGGCATGCAGCTCTGCTGTAATGCAGCAACATGTCCACATTTATTATAAAATATGCTTTCTGCATGAACGGATAAAAAAATAATTTAAACCAAAAACTGAGAACCACAACATCAAACTTTTTAAAAGCCTTCTGCTAAAATAATATTCACTTAGGGAAGAGTAAATGATGGTAACAAAACCAACAAATTAATGTTTATTTAATATCACTGATCATTATAAAATGTATTGCGATAACTAACGCTTGATAATTATCCATAGGTATCCTCACACAGTAGTTTCATGTTATATTTGAGTAGTCATCCACATATTCTCACCCGCCACCATTCTGTTTCCATGAATTCCACAATAATCTTGGGGATTACTGTTACTACTAAAGCAGTAGAAAATTCTGGGGGGGAATGAAGATTCCTTGGAAGTTTGTTAGGGTTCCTTAATGGGGATACCTGTCAGAGCAAACAGTTTCCTGAAAATCAGCTTCTGTCTTACTACCATCAAATGTGCTTTTCACCCAGAGTGAATAACACACTGGGGAGGGGGGGAGCCATCATTGCCTTATGATATCAACAGTTCAAAATGAACCTGTTGCATCGTTTGAAATGATTAACTGTACTACATAAACTGTGGTCCACAGACCAGCCGTGGTCTGCAAACTTCATTCAGATAATCCTGTGTGTCTGTAAAAATGCTATTAAAAACCCTACAGCATCTAGCACAGCACATTACAGTTGCTACAGCATGCAGAAAAACTATTAAGTGGCCTGCCAAGAACCTCAGCAATTTTCAAAGGGTTGGGGGGGGGCTTTAGGAACCACTGCACTACATGATGCCTTAGTATTCATATTCACTTTTACTACAGATGTATCTCCTACATTCTCCTCCGATAATAAATCAGAACATAGAAAGCTGTTTTACATCAGGTTCTATTATTTGTTCATCTGGCCCACTATTGTCTATTTTGAATGGCAGTATCTTGCCAGGGTCTCTAGTAGAGGTATTCCACAGTGACCTAGTTTGCACATCATAGTAAAACATGGTGAATATGAAGATGCTTAGGAGGATTCTCATAAGAGCCCTATTGGATCATACCAAAGGCCTATCCAATGGATCTTTCTTTTCTTACAATGGCGAACTAGATGTCCCTGAATAGCAGGACTTGAGCACAATAAATTGTGTCCTGCACATGATCCCCAGCAACTGGTTTCAAAGGCATACTGCCTCTGATACTAAAGGTAGTGTGTAGCCATGACTAGTAACCGTTAATATGTTTTATATGTATTTTATTACATTTTATATGTTGTGTTATATTTTACAAAATATTATTTATAAATAATAATCTTCATTGTGGCTTTCTGGTCTGCTATGCACCTCCCTGAAGATGTGTGGAGGAGAGAAAACATGATCCGTGACTTAACTATATGGGCAAAGCAGAATTAATGGTTTCTCTCTCATAATTAGCAAGCCATGAACAAATCTTGGAAGATTATGGTATTTTGAGAGTGAAACATACCACAAGGCCTGGTTTGGATATAATGCTAAATCAGGGATCATTGTTTGTTTCCTCTGCACACTAATGGGGCTGGTACAAAACAAACAAAGTGTAATTAACTATGGTTTGTGATGCTGTGCAAGTGATGCCACGACCACCTCCTTTTATCTGGAAATGTCAGGGATTGAACCAGGGACTTCAGCATGCAAAGCACGAGCTGTGGCCTCTTCACTAATTGCTAGGGGCTAAATGTTAGAGACTTTGGAAGTATCTTAAACCTAACAAATCACAAAAACAAAATTTTTAAAAAATGCCCTATATCCCTCAGTGGCTGTACCTTACAGTTCTTTACCTCGGACAAGTACCAAAAATTACTGCCCCTTTTAAATTGAAATTTACACAAACTTTCTTTGAAATGTGACATTGTAGGAAAGAGTGGTATTTAAAAAGTTTGGAACTGGCCTAAATTTCTTCTATTACTAGCCAATTTGGCTTCTGATTTTATAAGTCTAAGCAGAAGCTAGCTTAAGGAGCATTCCTAGGGAGTACAGCTAGGTTCAAGGGACAATTGCATAATTCCACTTGTAGTTATCTGTTAATATTGCAAGCAGATCAGGGTTAACAACTGTGCAGTGCGGAGTTCAGGGTTCATGAAAACAAGCAGAGCAGATTCCAGGAAAGTAGCAAGTTGCATAGTTCATAAGAATGATACTTTATTGAGGAGGGAGAAATGAAGTATCTAGGTCCCAACCAACATTTATATTCTGACACAGCACCTTTGCTCTATGCAGCACCTGTCAATGTCTGTGTGTCTTTCTGCTTAGATAGATAAAGTGCATATCTTTGCAGGAAAGTAGTCTTTTACTAGGAATCATCTGTATAACAGAGTTGTATGCACATCTGACAAAACTTAAAGGAATGCATTGAAAACATTCTTTTCAGTCGTTTTTATCACCTCCAAAGGTGATCACTTTCCACACTCCCTTATTTATTGTTTATCCAATGAGGAAGAGGGACGTGGGTGGCCCTGTGGGTTAAACCACAGAGCCTAGGACTTGCCGATCAGAAGGTCGGCGGTTCGAATCCCCACAACGGAGTGAGCTCCCATTGCTTGGTCCCTGCTCCTGCCAACCTAGCAGTTCGAAAGCACGTCAAAGTGCAAGTAGATAAATAGGTACCGCTCCGTCGGGAAAGTAAACAGTGTTTCCGTGCACTGCTCTGGTTCGCCAGAAGCGGCTTAGTCATGCTGGCCACATGACACAGAAGCTGTACGCCGGCTCCCTCAGCCAATAAAGCGAGATGAACACTGCAACCCCAGAGTCAGTCACGACTGAACCTAATGGTCAGGGGTCCCTTTAACTTTACCTAATGAGGAAGAATAATGCCCTCTCCCAGGCCTCTCCTTTTCCCTTCCCCCACTTTGTTGCCCCAAATTGAAGAGCCCAACATGAAAGGGTGAAGAACCTTAAACTAGTGTTTCTAATAAACAGTAATGAATAAATTATGGCATTTGTTCTATTTGAAGCAACCCGTTTGCAAAATACTGACTATTTTGATTTGGCAAAAAATGTTCAATAAAAAGAAGTGCAGATGCTTTAAGTTGTTTTGTGACTCCGTTGCTTCTCTACCAGGGCAAACAGTACTCTCTAGACAAGCATGGTGAGGAAAAAGTGGACCTGCTGCCTTAAGTAGGGAAGGGCGGGAATTCTTGTGGCAAAGCACCCGCCGGGAGTGCAGAAGCCCCCGGGCTTCAAACCCCGAGACATACCGCCTGCCTGAAACCCTGAGAGCCGCTGCTGCCAGTCAGTGCAGGCCACGCTGAGCTAGATGGACCTGCGCGGGGGGTAGGTTGGTCCAGAGCTTCCTGCGCTACTTCAGATGGTCCGCCAGCAAATAGCCCGCCAGGAAGAAAGCGGGAAGAGGGGCGTCTTTTCTGGCAAGGAGGGAAGGAAATCCCCCTCAGAGGCGGAGAGCAGGAGAGTCGCCGGCGCAGCCTCCGGCCACCAGGGGCAGCTCCGTCCCGCCAAAAGCACCTCGGCCGAGCCGGTCGCAGACGCCGGGGGAGAACAAACAGAAAACGAAGCGCTTTCCTCCTCGGTCGGAAGGCGGGCGCGGCGGCCAAGTATGACCCCTCCGACTTTCCGTTTCTCTTTCCCGCCGCTTGCCTCCAGCCACCGAGCAGCTGCCTCAGGTAACAAGAGCGCGCCCGGCTGAGGCGGAGCTCCCTGCCGGCCGCTTGACTTTCCCGCGGCGCCTCTTTCTTTCCGACTCCTGTATGCCTCCTCTTCCTCCACGGCCCGAAACCGGCCGGCCGCATTCATCCGCCGCCCTGTGTCCCTCCGCAGCCACAGCGAGCCAACCAAAGATGCTGCCGCTGCCGCTTCTGCGGTTAAACTTGCCCGACCTCAGCGCGGAAGCAGGAACAAGGAACCCCACCCCCGCACCCCATAAACTGGTCCGACTCCGGTTTTGAGGCTGGACCAACAGCCTTGTGAGCGGAGTGGGGGGGAGAGGCCACCTTGCGCGTGAGCTGGAATAAGAGGACCCTCCTCTTCCCCTTCCTATCACCCTTTTGAAAAAGCCGCTCTTTTCAAACTCCGAAGGAGCGCGCGCTGTGCTTTCCGGGGGCGGGTCCGTGTGTCACGTGGAGGCTTTGTTTTCGTTCCCCCCTCCTCTCTTTCCCCCTCCAGCCGGGTAGCCGGCTAAGAGCTTCAGGTCAGACCACGTGCGGAATGAAGAACGTTCCTTCCTTTATCGCTTTGCCCTGCATCTTGTTCGATGTTTGCCTCTTGCAATGCTACTGAAGCTGCAAAACAAACCCAAAGCTTTCTGGGGTGTGTTGAAGGCACAGGAGCTCTGTGAGGTAGATATAGGGCGGGGGCGAAGGGAGTTTATTTATCTGTTTTACTCTTTTAACTGCCAGATGTGGAGAATACAGGAAGATTTTTAAAGCTCAGCTGTGATCTGTTTAACTTCAAATCGTGTGCTTTGAAATGGAGGTGGAGGGGGAATCTTGCACTGAAATGAGTGTCTGTAAAAGCAGGAGTATGTGGCCTTTCAGGCATTGTTGGAAACTCCAATTATTCAAGGCAGTGCTTTTTTCTGGGGGTACGCAGAGGGACGCATACCCCTAAACATTCTGTGAATCTTAAGTTTGGCCTCATTGAGGGGCAGTATTTCAATATGAGTAGGAAAATGAGAGTACCCCTAAACATTTTTAAAGAGAAAAAGCACTAGTTCCAGACGCATTTTTGCAACTGGGAATTTCATAAGCGCGAGCAGTTTCTGAGCTCTGGGTGCAGTAGTGCACCTGCTGGTGAACTTCTGGACTATCCCTAAAATATCAGTAAAATGTACTCTTAGAACTTTAAAATAAATGGCCTAAGTCTTGGTTTTTACTTCCACAGAAAAATGGCACAAGTGAGGCATGTTCACCAGTGAGGGCGCAGCAACTCAGTCTCTGAACAGTGTGAATTGGTACTTATAGAAGGAAATTACATGTCATGTACTGGAAACAGTCTTTCAATTACCTTGAAATACCTTGTACCTATTAACAGATGGATGACTGCTATTCTGTTGCAGCAAAAACAACAAGGACCCTTGTGGCACCTTAAAGATGAACACATTTATTATTGCATAAGCTTTTATAGACTAGTGTGCATTCCATGCATCTGTTGAAGTCTTATGCCTCAGTGATTGTATTAGTTTTTAAAAGTGCCACAAGACTGTTGTTACTTGTACCTGATGCCCTGGGCACTAGGCTACAGGTTCCAGAGGGAACAAGTTAATTCAAGGCCACTTAGCCTGAGCTAATTACTATTCAGGCTATACAAGGGTATCATCATCATCATCACCATTCATTTCATTTATGTACTGCTTTTCGGCCCAAAGGCCCCCGCATTATATTAAAACAAGCTATGCAGTAGAATACAGTAACATGCCATAAAGGAAACTATGCAGTAGAATACAGTAGCATGCCATAAATCAATCAGCAAGTAAAACAATCAGCAAGTAAAACAATACAAGGCAATAAAATTGTAGCATACAGACAAAAGAAAGACTTCCTGAACTAGAAGATTAAAGGATGCTGTTACCAAACGTGCATACCTGTATGTAAGAATAATACATCCCCGTATTGCTTCCCCTGCTGGAAGAAAAGGAGCTTAAGGGAACAAGCTGTGTTTTCCCAACTGTTGCAAGTCATACACTGTAAATGTTTTCAACCTGTCATTGCAGGTATCTAATTTTCTTTTTAAAATAAATCAGCGGTGTGATGTAAAACTAAAAGAGTGGCAAACAGCAAGAACTGCATAAAGACAAGTGAAACACTCAAAACAGAAAACACAAGATGAGCACCTCTGGAGGAACTTGTGGAAGTCCAAACTCCACAGAACCTGCTCCTGATTACTTCAAGGAATTGTGGTCCAAATTGAAGGAATGCCACGATAAAGAAGTAAAAGGTAATATTATGGTTGCTGATCTGTAACAGGCCAGTGTGTTTACCAAATAAATACATCATAATTAACTCCTGATCAGCTGGTATTTGTGCCTTGTTCAGAAAACATTTGGTGAAAACATAGCAAGATGTTAATCATATTGTGGGGTGTGTATGATAATTACAGATGAATGTGGGTTGATGTTGAGTTGATATTGTTTGACTAGACCTGATCTTTTCAATGTTCAGTTGCTTAAGCAGAATGTTTTGTATCTAGACATACTGAAGTTTTGAACACTCTGGGAACTGAATAATCTTAAAATAAGATTTTCTGGTTTATCAGTCTTTCTCCTGCTGGATTTTTTACAATGAGCTGTGAAACAGAGTTAATATTTTGCAGAATGCTGATGTAGTTTCCAGTCTAAATCCTCACCAGAGTATCTATGATGTAGAAATTGAGCAAGGTGTATGGTGTACATGATAAGTATTTTCTAGCTGTTGTTCTTGGAATGTAGAAGTGACAATGAAACCACAAGAGATTCTTATGGAGACCCTGATGGAGCTAATCATGTAGAACAAATCTATGCATTTTAAGTGAGAACTTAGTCCCTTTCATTTGGACATAGATTCTTGTGTCTTATAAGATTGCAGCCCCCGTCTCATAACAGGAGATATATCTTACACACATGCACACATGCCAGAAGCAGCAGCTGTGAGTCTTCATGCATTTGCATTCTCTATGCAGACAGAATCATGCAACTCATTCCCAGGAATGCCAGCAATATTAACAGGCAACATCAGAGTTGTTATTATTATTATTATTATTACAATTAATTAATTTATTAATTGCCTTCCAAACTGCCGTCTCAAGGCAGTTTACACATAAGATAATCAAAATGGGTAAAAACAACAAATATATTTAAAGGGCAGGAAGAAAACCAACAGCTGATTTCACATAGCAAACTAGCCTATACAGTACAATGGTACCTCGGTCTACAAACAGTCCTGTTAACGAACACTTCAGGCAACGAACTCCGCAAAACTGGAAGTAGGTGTTCCGGTTAGTGAACTTTGCCTCGGAAGACAAATGGTGGAAGGGCACCGGTGGCGGGAGGGCTCAGTAGGGAAAGTGTGCCTCGGTTTAAGAATGCTTTGGTTTAAGAACGGACTTCTGGAATGAATTAAGTTCATACCACTGTATTGGGGAACAGATACATCCAAATAACAGACTGTGTTTTGCCTGTTGCAGAAAACACTGTCCAAGCTACTAGGGATACCAAGGATTGTAGCAGGCCAGATTAAAATCCAAGAGAGAAAGTGATATCTGGGAATGTTGCACATAGAATAATTAAAACAGCCCAGGTTAATGCATTCAACAATACACTTCCTTGCTGATAAAAGATGGGGTGTGCGAGGCATAGTAATTTCCTCAATATATTTTACCTTCTATAGGCCACACATCATTTACTGAACTTACTAGGTTTATTAGCTTTAATCCTTTTGGCTCAGTTCATTCTTCAGCTGAGTTTTTACAGTGGGTGGAATGTCATCAGTGAGGCACATGCTGAGACATCATCAACTCAGGATTTTGCAATCTAAGGAGTGCCTTTATGTCATGAAGCCGAATAACAGAAAACTTAAGTTAAAAAACAACAACATTCTGTCTAATGTTCTTTTGCAGTTTGGAATAATAAAAACTTGGGGATGACCTTTCAAAAATACATAGGCCTGTATATTCTTGGAAATAGGTCCCCCTGAAATAAATGACACTGAATAAATCTAGTTAGATTGACTATGGGTGTGTCAGTGCAGCCTTGCCATAAGGCAGATTTTTTCATGCCTAAACCTTTGTTTCTATGTTCTATACAATGATTAGTAAAGTTAGATGCTGCATGAGTACATCAAAGACATGCCTGAAGGATAGTTAATTTTTGCAAAAGGTGGGGTCCCTCCTATAGAACTGGGTACAGTGATATTTAAGACACATCAAACACAGACTTGCCTGGACTTTACTTGCTCCTGAGGTCTATAAATATGAATTAAAGCTGACTCATGAATTTTGAATTCTAAATGTCAGCAAAATTGACAGTAGCCAGAGAAATAAGTGCCTGGTGCTTACACTGGTTGTACTGTGTCATTTTGTTGTTTTTCCATGTGCAAACTTCATCCTTGTGCTACCAAGAAAGCAATCAAATGATCACGTTATGTTTCTTCTAATTTTTAACAACATGCTTTGGAGGAAAATACAGTCTAATAAGTTGCATACTACACTTAGTGCTGAATGCCTAGGCTTCAGACGCAACCTTCATTGCATGTCACAACTTTTCTCTCTGCTTTGGTTCATGGCTTCAATTAGACAAATCCATTGTTGTGTGATGATGAATTCACAAGCCTGATTATCAGAATAAAAGAACAGGATGTTAACATGGTTATGAAAAACCTTATGCTAAGGATGGAACTACAGTGGTACCTCGGTTTTCGAACATAATCTGTTCTAGAAGACCATTCGAGTTCTGAAATGTTCGAAAACTGAAACTCAATAGCTGACAGCTAGGCTTCAGGGTCTTGCACTCAGCGGAAGCCACGTTTGCTGTTCGACTTCCAAGGTGCGTTCGAAAATTGAAGCATTTCCTTCTGGGTTTACGACGTTCAAGTTCTGAAACATTCGTCAACGGAGATGTTCGAAAACTGAGGTACCACTGTATATATTATGTTAGTGTAAGGGAGGAATTTTTAGGAGAGATTTTATGGGAGGAGGTGGCAAACCTTTCCCTTGTAATCCATCCCGATGGCTTCCCCTCCCCCCCAACATTCCACACGCATCCAACTCTGAAACCTGAAATAAATCAAATTGGGTGACGTGGATATGTGTGTGAAGTACTGGGAAGAGGGTTGTGGAGGAGAATCAGTGGATGAGCATGGATAAGACACCTCACCACTCACCCTCCAGTTTCCCTCACAAATATCCAAACATTACTGTTGAACAGTAAACACTCATTTGGGAAATGTGTGTAATGTGTAGTTCCACCCTTTGCAGAATATCATAGGTTATAATTCAGTTTAATCTAACCTAAATGAAAATTGTGTGCGCAGCAAGCTGGCAGATATAAGTAAGTGGTAAATCTTACTCTTGCCATGCATTTAATGGGTATTGGTCTGTGTTCTCTGTCTCTCATACATTTCTTGGGAAGACACAAGGGTAACGCCGTTAAGGCAAGTTTACTTACTTTTTAAAAATCTCATTAGGACTAATATGATTTAAGCACAAATACTACATCTTTGATGGGTTATGAGGCAGTCTGTTTTATTGAAAGAGAATAGTGGAGAAAAAATAAAAGTTCTAGTGATCTGCAAAACAAACATAATTTTTCAGAATTTATACAACAGACTTCATACCCGAATTCTAATTTATTGGTTTAGGATTGCTCCAGAAAGATTTCTGAAATATTCTGATAATTCCTGAATTCAGGCGAAGTAGTATTTCTATAGTTTTGCCTTCGTAGTACAGCTTATTCAGTAGCAACTGAGGCTGCTAGTGTTAAAATACCAAAAACTGTGCCAAACAGACTACCTGTTCTTACAGGAGCCTCATTGTTGTGCAGTCTCATTCCTTCTGATGGGTGTGGAGAAGGATTAAAGCAGAGCACTTTATTAGGGGTCTTAATTCCAGATATCTAATTGTCTTGCCAAATTGAAGCCACATTTTAAGAAAAACTATTTCCTAACTGATCTACATGATCAAGCATATTTGAGTGCTTAAAGAGATAAGGGAAGACAGGAAAGGAGGGCTCTTAATTTTTCTTTTGAAGTCATTTTCATGCATTTTCTATTTTGCCTTTCTTCTGTAATGGGACATGGCATTAATGTGTGGTATGACTGTTGCTTTCAAAACAGAAGCATGAGCTCTGATGAATTTAGTTTTTTTAAAGCAATCAGTAGTCACCATTCTTCCAGCTATGGTTCAGGAATGTAACAGCCTTGATTACCGGGGTCAATAAATTTCAGCCAGCCTTAGTAACTAGCCAAAAAATAAATAAAAAAAATATGCCCAGAACCCTGACCAAGGGGAGCTGGCAAAACAGAAGAGTGAAATAGTTCTTGCATTCATGTTGCACCAATTCTCTTTTCCATCTGGAGTGCTAGCAACTTCTTAGCTAGATTTCTATAATGTGCTTTTTTTCAGGGCTACCCTTGGAGACAGCATCCTAGGAACCATTGGTTCATTACCTTCTTTTGAGAACTGAAGTAACTGAAAAACAAACTATAAATTTCTGAAATAACTTGTTCAGAACAATAACCTTATAATTTAGCTCCAAATGTATGCATTTGTTGGTAGTTTCTACATATACATATAAAGACATTATTCTTCACTAATTTGTATATGGAAGTTCAAAATATAAATTGTTGCTTTTCTGTTTCTCTTTCATTAGGATTACTGGCAAAGATCACCAAGCTGAAAACAGAAAGGTGTTTGTAAGTATCTCCTCATATGCTATAATTCTTAATTTGATGGAAATAGTTGCATTTACTAACTGGTCCTCAGAGGCTGGTTTTTCAGACAGAGCCTACTATCTCCTTTTCTAGGAATGATAAAGCAAAAGGTTAAGGACAATATTGCAGGGATTGTAATAGAGGCAACATTTCTTATGTTTAGCAATCAGTTACATTAAAACTGCAGTACTATGCACACTTTCTTTGGAACAAGTCTCATGGAACTTCTAAATTCATCAAGTCTTGCTGAAGCAGAACCAACATGATTTCTGCAAGGGTAGGTCCTGTTTCACTAACCTTGTAGAATATCAGCAAGGATGTAGATATAGGTGTACTTTTAAAACGCCTTTGATAAAGTCACTTGTCAAAGCCTTGAATAAGCTTTGGAGTTAAGGAATAATAGGAGAGGTCCGCTTATGGCTCTGTAACTGGTTAAGCAGTAGAAGGCAGAGAATAGGAATAAATAGTTCTCCAATAGTTCTCCAACTTAAAGTTGTAGAAAGTAACCTCTTAATGGATCATTATTGAGACTAGTGTTTAAGATTGTTGAAATAAAAAGGGATTGTGAATGTGAGGGCTATCCAATCTGGGTGAATAAGCAGTAATATGGCAAGTTCAATTTTATGTAAAGTGATGCACATGGGGCCAAAAAATTCTAATTTCACATATACACCAATGGGGCCTGAACTGGCAGTGACTGAGTAGGAATGATACCCAAGGTCGTAGTAGATAGCTTGATGAAGATGTTGACCCACTGTGTGGCTGCTGTGAAAAAGACTATTATTAGGAAGGAATTGAAAACCTGCCAGTATCAGAATCCCATTAATACAAATTTATGGCGGTACCACACTTGGAATATTGCAAACGGCTCTGGTTGCTTCCCCTTGAAAATGTTATTGTTGAGCTGAAAAGGATTCGGGAAAGGGCAATCAAAATGATCAAGGGGCTGGAACAACTTCCCTATGAGCAAAGGAGCTCTTTAGTGTAGGGAAAAAGTGCGTAAGGAGAAACAAGATAGAAGTGGGCAAGAATTAGGCAGGTGTGGAGGAAGTGGATAGGGAGGATTTTTTCTCTCCACCTCTCATAATACTAAATCCCTGGAAGATTCAGGACAGACAAAAGGAAACACTTATTCACACAGCACATAGTTGTGGAGGCTGTGTTTAGCCTTCACTGTTGGGCTGCAGTGTGCCCTTGAATGCCAGTGGCTAAGAATCACAAGTGCAGAGATTATCATTGTACTCAAGCCCTGCATTCAAGCTTCCCTGTGACAACAGAATGCTGGATTAGATGGTCCTTTGGCCTAATCCCACAGGGCTCTTCTTATGTTTCTAAGTAACTTGTATAGGATAAAGTTGCTAATGTTTTCGGGGGGGGGATACATCTGCTAAGTTCATTTCAGCCTGTACACAAATTTCCAAAAACATTTCTGTACTCCAACTTCAATTTAAACTTTGTTGTAGAGTGATTGTGTTTGGAATAATATTGTCATGTATATCTCCTTGTTAAAAAGTTTCCATCCTCAGCTCAGAGCTGGTGGAAGATGGGTATTATTGATGACTTTCTCTTGAGATTTAATACATACCAAGCTAAATGGCTTAATTATTACTTGCTGGAATCATCCTACAAGTAGTGCATTGTAGATATAACAGTCTTCTATAGGAGTTCTTGTTCTCCCCAACTCTTTCTGAATACCTGAGGTTTAATATTTCAGCACTGATAACCAGCCAGACAATGAGCTCCTTATGCTGCACCCTGGTTCAGCGGTGAGGCTAATGGTCTTGGAAATGCAGGGTCAGGGACCACTCATTAGGGAAGGCTATTTTCATAGCTGAAGAGCTTGTCAGTTTTGTCAAGCAGCATCATGACCATCATGCACTATTTTCTCTCTCTTTTTACACTTTTTGCTCCGTTCTTAGAATGTGAGTGTACTTATAACCAAGTGATCCTGCCCATGCTTCATTCATAGTAAATACTCTGTCTTCAGTGACATATATTTCCTAGCAAGTGACTTCATTACAACAAAGTAGCCTGAACATGTTTACTCAGAAGTAGGTCTGAGTGAGTTTAATGCAATTTGCTCTCAGGTAAGTTTGCTTAGAAATTCTGCTTTAATATAATATAACTGCTGCTTAGCTTTAGAATAAATTCTAGCTTTAGACTAAAATTGGAAGCTTTTTGAGCCACAGGTGGGACTTTATGCATGATTAGAGGATTGCATTCAGTTGCCTAGGCCACCATGTTGTGCATTTCTTATGCTGTCTTAGGTGGCTACTTTCTTTACTGGCACAATCACTATGCCTATAACAGGCATTCAGGTTTGTGTGTGAGGAACTCAAGCTGGAAATCCTATTTAGTGTTTGTTTGATCTGCATGCTATGCATATTTAACTGGAAGCAACCCCCTTTTGGATATAGTGAGAATTTCGTCTTAGTGAACACACATAGGATAGCAGGATAGCACTGTTGTTTAAAGTACTGTCTGTACAGTATCGCTGTAAGGTTCCCTTTGTTTCATGTGAGTAAGAAATACTGGTTTGCCTAATGCCACCCAGTAGCTGTTCATAGCTGAGCTGCAAGCTTAAGTCCCTAAGATATAGCAGCTTCTAAAGCAAGTCTGGAAAACTACTACACACTCCAGCCAGTTTTGAATAGAAGTGTTTATATTTGGTGTCTGTTGTTCTCAAAGCTTGACTGCCAGCATTTAAAAAGAGGTGCCAGATCAGTTGTTGCTACAGTTAGTATGGCTTCCATGTTATCCTCACATAATTGCAGTTATTGTTAGTAAAAATCCTTCTTGCATTAGTTAAATTGTGTTTGTTTTCTTGCCACTGACTAAATCTAACAAAAACCAGCCCTGAACTGCTTGAGTTCCAGAGAGCTAAAGGGTGTGCACAAGAGGATCATACATTTCCCACCTGCACACCCGTTTGTTATTAGATGTGGACCTTCCATCCCACCCCTTTTCTAAGATCAGGGCAATACCATGTGTAAATGTGCAGTGCTGCCACCACTGCATTTAATTTAGGCTCCTTCAGAAAGACAACATATAAATTGAATAAATTAAGCAAATAATAGTTTGGCCAGACTATTACAGTCGTACCTTGGAAGTCGAACAGAATCCGTTCCGGAAGTCGGTTCGACTTCCAAAGCGTGGCTTCCGGTTGGCTGCAGGAAGCTCCTGCAGCCAATCGGAAGCTACAGAAGCCCCGTCGGACGTTCGGCTTCCAAAAATAGTTCACAAACCGGAACAGTCACTTCTGGGTTTGCAACATTCAGGAGCCAAAACATTCGGGAACTAAGCTGTCCGACTTTCAAGGTACGACTGTATTTATTTATCTGATTCCACCATGTTCTCCCTGCTCTATAAACCAATCTGGGACATAACTACCACACATTATATTAAATGTGTAGTGTGTAGCATCAATCTTTCTTCTTTATTTTTAATGCTGAGCATAAGGGACTCTGATTTTCACTGAGACCATGGGAGTGTCTTTTCTAAGGGTCATTTCCATGTTGCAGGGGGTTCATGGGGATCACAGCTAAGGGGAAGAAATTGTTAAACCTCCCTATATACTGCTTCTTTTTAAAAAAAATTGTGAGCATCCTATCCATGCATGTAGGACAACTTCACCATTCTGATTCATTAAGGTTTCACAACTGCATGCTCCTACCTGAGAGTAAACTCCACTGAACACACTGGGACTTGTGAGAAAACCTGCATAGGCTTGCACTGTAATTTGGTTATCTGTTCTCATTTAAATAATTCCCTGCAGCCCATTCTAATGCAAAGTTTTCCTTGACAGAAAACACATGCGCAGAATAGCTATAATTTTGTTGTACTATGCTACCACTTCCCTCTTCCATCAAGCACCATCCTTCTCCTCTGTCAAATTCATGTTACTTATAGTGGAAGCCAATGGAACTGTGACCATGTGAGTAATGTGCTTTGTACTGCAGATGAGTCGTTTTATTAGTCTGGTTAGCACAGTTTTCTTACTTTGTTAACTTTAATATGATTTCTGCTTAATGAAAATGCATATATCACATATACAATTGCTGTAAATTAATTTTCATATACGTTTAGGGATGCAGAAAGACTTGAAGAGTTTTACACTAAAAACCAGCAGCTTAGAGAGCAACAAAAATCATTGCATGAAACAATTACAGTTTTAGAAGATCGGTAAGTAGAAATTACCCCATTTTGATGGTAAGGTTTAGCCATAATTTTTCCTTTTTTGAAAGCCCTGCCAATTAGATTGTTGTTTGCTGCTTGTATATCAAACTGAGTAGTAAACAGCTTACTAAATGGAAGAGGTGATAATGGATGCTCTCCCTGACTATTTTAAGTTTTGAATTCAAAGCCTTTTGATTTGTATTGGACAATTTTTTCAAGGACTTGGAAGTTCATTCAGTGCTATGAAGCATGTAACCTTGTATGATGTGTGTGTCAAGAAATAAGTTCAAATAGATGTATGCTAACTTGATCATCCAGAACAATTTTGTTGTTCTGCAGGTAGGAAAGATTTAGAAGTTGAAGGAAGGTCTTTGATAGTAAAATTGCCATGTATCAAAAAAGGTGTTTCACATTAATAATAATAAGAATGGTTGATAGCCAAGATTTTAAAATTCTAGATCATCTATGCCACTTCAGGTTGTAATCCTAAGCACACTTACTAAGGAGTAATTTCCATTGGACATTTATGGCCTCTTGTGCAGTGGTTCCCAATTAAGTAAATACTTTGGGCCCCCTGTTTTTCAAAAGCTAAGCCAGGAACCTCCTACTTTTGAAATTTTGATAGATCAGTGGTATGCCCTGAGTTATCTAGTACTTAAAAAAAATATTATGCTTATCTAACATATCTTTATCTTCTAATTTCTATAGGTTAAGAGCAGGATTATGTGATCGTTGTGCAGTAACTGAAGAGCATATGAAGAAAAAACAGCAGGAATTTGAAAATATTCGGCAACAGAACCTCAAGTTGATTACAGAACTGAGTGAGTTTTATCTTCCTTGAGTCATTTCATAATAATGGGACCTCTTTGCATGTGCTCTGTTATCACACACTCTTGAGCCAGTAATAGTTAGTTTTTCTATATTTAAATACTACGTTGTACACAGAAAATGCTCATTATGTCTGATTGACCATTCATTCCCCAAACAGGCTTATACTTAGAGGCTCCATTGTACCTAATATGTGGGATTGTACTGTTAGCCTCTTAAATTTTGGAATGTCTAATAAAACACTTCTTGCTTTCAAAATTGTTAATATAATAAGATAAAATACAGAGAAGTGCTTTTTTCCTATGCTCTTTGGATAAGATTTGCTCACACACAAAGGTATATCCTGCCAAGCTATGGTTTGTTTTTACATCCAAACCTATGAAAGTTTACAAGCCATGGTTAGGGAAGGTACCACCAAATCAAGGTATCAAATCACAGTTTGAAGATAATTTGCAAAACACAGCTTGTACCAATTGTCTGCCATGGCATCTGAATTCAGAAACCAGTGACAAACCATCATCTCAACAGAAGCAGAGCAGCACTACAGAGTTAGGAATTGCTCTGCCTCAAGAAGCTGCTGCACTATAGAAACCAGAGCAAATCATAGTTCTGAACAGATAGAAAACAATAGGAGACAAATAGTTCTAAATTAGTATTTACCGTATGTTTGACAGCTCAAAACAGCGTTGTGGGTAAGCACAAGCTGTGGTTTGCTATGGTGTATGAATTGAGCCAGAGTCTGTTTATTGCTATAGATGCCTAAAGATTCCATCCCAAACCCAGATTATATTTGGTTTATGACTAGCTTGCAGGGTAGAGGGGAAGGAGCCGAACCTTTTCTGTGCTTGACTTGACTTGCTTTGGTCTCCTGGAGGTGTTTGCTCTGCTAGCACCATTATACAGTGTTTCTGCTATACAATTGTTATGTTGATTGTTTGAGGAGTGGAGGATGTTGATGTATTTTCCTCCCATTAATCAGGTACTGTTGGATTCATTGAACTTTTGTAATGTTACCACTTTCCCTTTAATGTTATTGTGCTGCTTTGCTTATAGACAAATGGAGAACTCTTCTACATCTTAGGTTCAGGGGCCTTCTAAAGGGAATCAAAGTTCCTGGATATAAACTATTACTTGACTTTCTTGTGAAGGGAGTATAGCTCACAAATGCCCACTAATTTGGATAGCATCATGACTTTGGTCAAGGATAGGATAAAAGGCACATATTTCCAAACATCACACAAGACAGTAAGACCAGTACTTTTTTAAAATGTCCTTTCCTTTACATCACCAGTCTTATTTCTTTCTATTGAGCAATATTCTCATGTGATGAAAAAGTCAATTAGTAAGTAATTTGTTGCTGGATTTCACAGTTAATCAGTGTGATGTAATTAAGTTACAAATTGCATTTATAACATTCTGTTAGTGACTTGGCTGGAACTCTTTATTTAGAATGAAAACAAAATGTATTGGAGTACAAGTACATGCAAGTGGGTTTTTTAGTCATCTAATGGATTTCCTAAGAAGACTGATGAAGAAATAAAACACAACTGGAAATTGCCATGTTATTTCATTTTTTTGCATATTTCAGTGAATGAAAGAAACAATTTACAGGATGAAAATAAGAAGATTTCTGAACAGCTTCAGAAGATGCAAGAGAAGATAGAGTAAGTATAATTCCTGTTTGTACCTATGCAAATAGATGTAGGGAAAGGTTTGTCCAGGAAGTGATGGATAATGACGATAACCAAACCACAATAAATCAGATAAACCCTGTCCCATCTCAGTGTAACACCCTCCCTTTCCTGAGAGGGAAGGAGTTGCTCATGGAGTGCTGAAAAGTTGGATACCAGAGTAGCTCCACATCCCAGCACTTTACAAAAAAATGTATCCTACTGTCTTCTAGTTGAGGGGGGTGAGGAGGCAGTGTATCCCATACCATGCTGTTAAGTTTTGGAGCAGATGGAAACAGTGAAAGAGAGACTTGGTGTTTCTGCTACTCCAGGACAATATGAGAGTTTCTTCCAGCTCTGTTCTCCAGCGCCTGTAGGTGACTGGTGGGAGGGATCATAGCAAAAGGAGTGATCTCTGGCAACTACGAAATATGCTTGGCTGGTAAGCCAAACCAGAACTTGTGAAAGGTTTGGTAAATGAGCCTGTTGTCATTTCCAGCTATTCCTTTATAGTCCCACTGATTCCCTGATCTTTTGTTTATAATTTATGTTTTCACTGCCAATGTCTCAGCCACTTATTTTAGCTTCAATCTGCCAAGACATTCTTTGTTCTGTCTACCACTTGCCTTTTTATTAGCACCTTCTGCCAGGTTCCCTCCTTTTAATCCAGGCATAGGCAAACTCCAGCCCTCCAGATGTTTGGGACTACAATTCCCATCATCCCTGACCACTGGTCCTGTTAGCTAGGGATGATGGGAATTGTAGTCCCAAACATCTGGAGGGCCAGAATTTGCCTATGCCTGTTCTAAGTGGCAGTGCCACTCTTTTTCTAGAATTTAAAAGGACTATTTCTGCCTTCTCTAAGGCTATATTCCCTGATTCAGTTAGGTAGCCGTGTTGGTCTGATGCAGTAGAAAAAAATTAAAAAATTGTCCAGTAGCACCTTAGAGACCATTTAAGTTTGTTCTGGGTATAAGCTTTTGTGTGCATGCACACTTCTTCAGATACCAATTCCCAGTGACCCTTAATACACTCTTGACAGATCAACACTTTCTGTTTTTTGTAGTATTTAGGTTTCACTTTAATTTTGTCTGTTTTTCTTAGGGAGCAAGAGCAATACATGGAAGAGTTCGTTCCAGATTCACCTGTTCAGTCACTTTCAATGGTTAATCAACTGCGCCGAAAACGGGAGAATAGACACGTCCAGTACACAGAACAAAAGGGTCCAGATTTGGAACAGACAGGAAGACCTCGGAGTACGCTTTTTCAAAATCTGTTTCCCTGCTAAAAATATTAAGAATAATTACAGTTTGAAGGAGGTCCCCTTTATACAATATAAAAATATACAGTTCCAAATCCTTCCTTCCTTCTAGGAAATGGTTCTGAATTTTTGGTAGCAGTGCTTCTTTACTAACTTGTCTCAGACTACCACCTAATGGACAATAAAAGTATTTCCATCCTCTCATACCCACAAACAGAGAGTCAGTTATTTTAGAGTTTCCATAACAAGGAATAGTCTTAACTCCCATCAGGTCAGTTGTCAGAGGGGAAAACTGTGTGAGAGGAGCTGCTCCTGAGCTGGGCATTGTTGCTCGCTCTGTTTCTGGATCTGAATATGGGGGAGAATACCTCTAGGCAAAGGGCAGCTCTTGATCAAGCACAAGGCAGAGAACCACCATTGATATTAAGGAGGAATTGCTGTAGGATGCCATAAATAAACTTCATTTTACAAAGATGCTGTATCTGATTATGACCTTTATTTTTCTCTTTCTAGAGCTTGGGAAGATCCCTCTTTCATCCACCCAAAGGGATGTCTGTCCTGAAGAAGAAGTATTGGTGGCTGATACCTGCGACCCACAGCTCTCCCCAGTATCACGTAAATTTAGCAAGTTTTACCATTATATATTTAAATTAGTGATAGTGGAAAAGAGTACAGTCAGTTTTCCTTGGTAATCACTCTGTACAATTGAAGATTTTTCTTGTTTTACTGCTTAAGAGGTTTTTTTTAATTAAGCAGTTTATAAATATTTTAAATAAATGAAGCTTTTAGTGGAGATCTTTATCCAAATTCATATCTGTATTTGATCTGAATTTTGTTCTGTTTTGTTTTTGCATATGGAATTGTTTAATTGTTGATGTTTGATGCTTTGAGGTATTTTATGGGGAGCGATTCATGAATGGAATTGAACAAATAAGAAAAACCCTCAGCGTGAAAAGTTCTCTGTACGGTCCTTTGGTCTGTTTATTCTTCGTTAGAGGAGACATATGACCCAGGACTAGCAGCCCTTTCAGGAATCGTGGAGATTGCCCATTTGCCCAGGCATTTTGCTGACTCTTATGAGGAAACCATTCCCCCTCCAAAGCTATAGGGAAGAGTTGAATAGAAACCAGGAACCTCAACAGACGGCTACTGCAAACTTGCATATTATTAAATACTATTATGTTCATCTAAATTGTTTCTTAACTTGAGCATTCAAGAAATAGGTTTCAAATTAAAAAATCAAGGATTCAGAAATGTTCTGTTGAATTAATTGCCTTGGAAGAAATCATACTTCTATTATTACACAATGCTCAATTTATGGACCTCTTTTTTAAACCTAATCCTATCTGTACTAGTGGAATATGTTTTATCATGCATGTTTTGAGTTACTGATTTCTTCTCTCCATTTGTACAGATGAAAAAATAGCAGGAGAGCGCACGGCTACAAGATCACCATTTGCCTTGGCAGCAGTTGTTGCAGAAACACTTGGACTTGATGAGCCTGTGAGTACTGTTTTCATGTTCTGCCACAAAAAATCTAGTTGGGAAATAAACTCTCATAGGGAAAGCCAATTTTTCTTTTGCTTATTTTGTCTCAAGATTTGGCAAAAAGTACCACCAACCAACTGCTAATGACAGCAGATGAGACAATCGACTGTGTATAAATCGCTGTGTAATCACTGTTATCCATTTATTGTGTCAAAAAACTAAATGAAAATGTAAATGAAAATTACAGTTCATTTTGAAATTTTTCATTACTGGGAATTAATGTTGGTTTTCAGAAATGTATGCCGTACTTGTATACTTATTATGTCTTTGGAGGCTGAACATTTTTATTTTATTTTTTGCATGGTACATTGGAAATAAATTGCATGAAGGTGGTTTAGAACCATATCTTTTAGAATTGCAACTCATATTTCTTGGTTGGTGAAATATAACTCATTCATTGCAGTGATTTGATTTAATGTGATCCCTTTGCTATAGCTTCAGCACATAATTGGTTAAATAAAATTATATCAGATAAGCTGAATGCAATCACACTAATCCAGCTCAAGGAACTATACTCAAAGAAGCAGGCTTTTCTGAGCATATCCAGAATTTGACAGTTAACTACATGCACAACCAGGTGCTTCATTCTCAGTTTCCTCTTCCATTCACCAAATCCATTCACTGTTTGCATACAGACCTGCCTCTACTTTTTCTTCAAGCTGATTGTTCTGTCAACATAGGCCTGGCTAATCCATGGCCACGGAATTAAATATGAATGTGCATTTTGAGCTTCTTAAAAAATGTGCCATACCAGAAGTTGCAAAACGTAAAGTGGTGTTATTATTTCATCATAGGAACCTCGGAATAAAGCACAGGGAGATTTCAGAAAACAGTTGGTTCATGTGTTTCCTAAAAGTAATGGTGACAACTTGGAGTAAGTCTTAGAATTTTCTTTTTAAAAAAATATATGAAGATTTTACATATGAAGCTAAATGGACTTTCATAGAATAAATTTTGGTAGAAATGTTTATTATAGTAATGTATTATAACATATTTAATATAATCATGAAGAAAACTTACCACATTTTAGTTCGAAAGAGTATAATCTGTTAGAAAATTGCATACTTAGATTTTCTTACAATATCTGAATTTTTAATATATGTCATGTAATAAGAAAAATTAATATGGTTTCCCTGCCAATATTTTGTACTTTGAATAGAAGTATGTGGTAATATGCCAGATGCCACCATAAGGACCAATCCTGGTCTTATAGTGTCTTTTTTATGTACACACCCTATAATGTTTTTATTTGCAGTTTCTAAAATAATAAACCATTTACCTCTTTAAAAGTTCAGGGCTCCTATTTGATGTACTACAAAAAGGCATAATAAATATGGGCAGTAGGTTAAAACCTCATGGCAGCATCTGCTAAAGCATGGATGGGGAATCTGTGGACCTCCATTTGTTGTTGGACTATATTTCACATCATCTGTTGCCATGCTACCTGGAGCTGATGGGCCGTCCAGCATCTGGAGGGCCAAAGGTTCTTTACCCTTGTGCTAAAGACTCAGAAACCCAAGGATCTTTGAGCAGGATATTGAACAAGCCTACTTACCTTTCATCCTTACCTCTATTGACCCTACACTGCAACCTTTGTTCAAAATCAGGGTTTTCTTAGTGTGGAGTGTGTCCAGCTCTGCTTATGTTGATGTTTCTGACAATAAATCCAGTCTTTCAGAAGGGAGTGATAATTTAATTCCTCTCTTAAATAACAGTTGCAGTTTTATGCTGGATGTTACTTTTTTTCAATGGACAGGTTTGTTTTTTGTACTAGTTCACATTAGCGGGGGGAAATACTTTCAACTTTTAACTATTCAGATTTTCAGATCCACCTGAGGACGCTTCTCCACTTACAGACTGGGATTCTAAGGTACCTTCTCCTGTTTTTGGAGCCTCTGCAAATGTGAAGAAGAGCAGCTTGGGCCTCAGTACAAGTCTTTCCTCTTCTGTGTTAGCAACAGGACGTAAGTCAAATCTGAAAAACAACTCCATCAACAATTCTTCCTATTCTAGATCTGGGAAAGTGAAATCAGTATCTGAAGATGTTGCTTTTGTTGTACCGCTTAACCCTGGGACTGAAATAACCTCTGTTATCAGCCAGGCTCCAACCGGTAAGCAAGTGGTTCTGAAACAGAATGCAGATGAGCCCATAACATGTGTGACCAACACACATTTAGATAAAGATGAGACAGGCAAGAGTGACTTCCTTCTTCCATCACAGAAACAATTAGGCAGCCGATGCCCTAAAAGGAAGAAACCTGATGAAAGGAGTGGGCATGTGATCAGCTCTGAAAAAGAAAATGCCTTCCCTTCCCATGCAGACAATCCTCCTATCAATAGAGATAATATAACTGATAAGCCTTTAGATTTATCTGATCGCTTTTCGGGTTTTCGCTGTCAAGGAAAAAGCCATGTAAGTGCTGAGACCTCCAAAACTAGGCTGAGGCAGGCAACTCTTTGTGATGTTTTTCAACCACCAGTGAAAGATTATTCATCTAAAACCATCGTTGGTTATCTAATGAGCCAAGATTCACCAGAGGATCCCTGTGTACAGGAAGCATCCCTGGAGAGAGAACCTCAAGTACAGATAAAAGAAGAGATCACTTCCTTTTGTAATCCACCAAACGACGTCCTGGAATCAGAGCTCTCTGAAGATATGGAGGTAAGTTTGTGAGCAACACTGTTACCTAGCATAAATAAACACCTGAAGTTTTCGGGGAACGGTAGCATTTCTTTTGCTTCTTTGCCAAAGAGAGAGTTCACATGACAGTTATGCAACATTTGCCGGGGAAACTTTCTTGCTACTTATTTGTACTTCTAGGATGGGGGATCTAGGGTGGGGGATCAGCTGGCTAATATGAATTATGAACAGCATAGACAGAATATTTGGGCAAAGGTTTTTAACATTGTAATTGTGTCGGTAGGCTGCTGGTGTCCATAAACCAACAAATAAGAGGATACGGTTACAAACTGCAGTAGGTGAGCCAGCATCTGTGCTTCAACCAAATCCTTGCAGAGTGAAAAAAGCCGCAAATCTGCACAAGGAACAAGGTACCTTGTAACTCATCATATTATTGAAATATCAGAACATTGGCGTTCTTTGTCTTGCCCCTTTTATTGGCGTTACCATCATCTAACAGAGATCCTACATACCCATTAGGGACAGATCTGTAGCGAGTGTCTGCTACATCCATAATCCTGTCAACTTGCTTCAGCCAGGGCAAAAGGAGTGGATTTCCGCAAGGTTTTTGCCTCAGTCAGCCTTAAAACAAAAAGCCACCCTTCTATTGACAGTAATGAAAAGGAAAATAGGGGTGCCAATTCCAGGGCTGTCACACTTTTTCATCGATCTTGAGGATACCTTTGAAAATTTGCCCTTTTATAGCAACTATTAGTGGAATAGTCACTATTTGTCTCGTTTTTTTGATGTGCATATCCTTAGAATTCTAAGACTTTTAGAACATTCATTTCTTTTATAAATTAATTCTCTCTTCTTTTGCAGATAATTCACCCTTGGAAAATGTGCAGTGGAGCATAGACCCAGGAGCAGACCTTTCCCAATACAAAATGGATGTTACTCTGATAGATGCAAAAGTAAGCAATCTTATAGTATGACTATTACTAAGCTCCCAGAACAAACCAAAATATTATTTATGGCTATTAACCTGTTATGCTTTACACAAAATAAAGCAAGACTAGAATGGTTCCTATTTGAAGTAATGTTAGTTTCAGAAACGATAGAAAAATGTAAACTTAGTTCCTGGTCTTGCAAATGCTTAGAAAGCCAATTCAGATATGCAGTTTCTGAGTTTCTCTTGTATAATTCTACCAGCTTGGGAAGGCAAGTGGAAATTGTTTATCCATAGAAAGATAATTCATTAAGAAAAAGATACTCAGATTTTCTTGAGTCTTACTCAGGAAAGTTTGCCTGCATCTCACAGAGGGAGTATTATATATTTCATTGAAAGAGAGGCTCATTCAGTTTTGTTTTGGTTTTTTAAAAATACTAATGAGTTTGGTGGGTTGCTTCCTCAAATGTAATAGTTCATTTGCTAACATGAAACTGAGTTAGTACATTTGCTTGTGTCATTTATGTGATACATCCTCAATGTTTGGAAGTTTATAGACTAGTTTTGGAGAATGATTTGAAGAATATTTTCAGGCCTGGTGAATCATGGGAGATGCTGAGGTTTAGATCAGAGATCTCTCAGCTTACATGTTACACAGCTTGCAAGTGATAACACTACTAAATGAATATGTGTGATCTACCCCTCCAAAGGATTCTTTCAGAATCTTAAAATGTGATCCACAGTCTGAACACGTTTTTGTTCCTGGTATTTGCTCTGGTGTATGTATGTATTTGATTGCAATATCCTAAAAAAAATGTTACATAATTATTTTGTGACTCTGTTGCCTAAAAGGAAGGGATCCAAACAAGAACTGAAGCAGAGACTGTAGACATGGACTATACATATGTCAGTGATAGTATTCTAGTAAGAATGAAAAATCAAGAACATAAAGAAGTAAACAGTTCAAGTAAGTTATTTTTGTTTGATTGTTTTAATAACACAAGTGAAAAACTGAATATAACAATTACAAGCTCCTTTGCTTATAGGGATGTATGGCACACACATGGCTGCCCCATGTACCAAGATGAATTCCCTGGTTAGCATTTAAGAAAGGCTGGTGGAAAATGCATGAACAGTCCATCAGTTCACTGGAAAGATAAAGAGAATAAGCCCCACTCCAAACAATGCACAGCTTAGAAAATGAGGGCAATAGAACAATTGGTTGGGTCCAAAGGTTCAAAATGCTTATGTTTGACTTGAAAATAAGCCGTGTATTTTTTTCATGCTTTATAGCCTTATAACTCTCCCATAAGGAACCATAGTCATTATTATAGTCTTCTGGACCCAGCAATGTTGTAAGTTACGGCCTGGTGTATGTTTCTTGAGCTTTGTCTAACTTGGTAGCTGTGTGTCTTTTATGGAGGTGAATTATATGACTAGAGTCCTGTGCAGTCTGGTAGCTTCTCAAGTGTACTGCTGTAATGTACCATATGCTCAGCTATCCTGGAAGACAGTTCAGAAACTACAACAGGCCTGGAACGTGGTAGCTTGTCTACTTTTCAGAGGTAATAACCAGTACATATAACCTTGCTTCTTTTTTTATTTTCACTTGTGAATAGTTCATTTCAGGGTAGAATTCAACATGCTAGACTTGCCCTATCAAAGCCTTTAAATACTTGGATCTGGGATAACTAAGGTCCACTTAATTATTCAGGTGCCACCACTATCGATGATAACTAAAAATGGGGGCTTCTGTAAAAGTTTTTAGTGAGTTGGGGTTAAGAGAATTCTAAAAATTGTGGGTGGTCTTACCTTTGAAGTTGAGATGCTTTAAGATATTTCTTATTTATTTAGTTTGCAAAAACAAAGCAAACCCACACACAACAAAACACCTTTAGCCTGCTCTGTGCAGCCTTTTGGCATTCTTGAGATGGAATGCCCCAATCAGAATGTTGCAGTGAAGCCTGCCAGGCTGCTGAGGGCAGCAAAGTCACAGCCTAAACTGGCAGCAAGATTATAAAAAAAAGAAAGAAAAGCCCTCAGCCAGTTCATATTTAAAGGTAAGACCCCCCCTCCCAATACCCTGCAGGTTCTTAGGAAACTTATTTGTTACAGCTATTTATACCCCACCTTTTAGGATACAAATTTGAACAATGCCAAGAAAGAAGATTTAAAATTGTCATTATTCTCTTCCTATATTCTAGTATCTACCAGAAATTCCCAAGAAGCTATTTAAGTCATGGGTTGGTCCATCTCTCTAATACAGATAATCAAGATGGCATGCCTTAAGTTAATAAATAACAAAGCTAGTTTTAGAACCTGATTGGTTTTATTCATCTGCTACTAAATATTCAAATAGATCATGCTGCTTTTTAGCTCAAGGTGTCAAGAATAATGCTAGTAATGATTGTTGCTCACATTTGTCGAAGGAGAGAAAAGAAGAAATGACACCTTTGCAGAAATATTTGATCGGACATCATATGAAGAATATGAATCCTATCTAGAAGATGACAATGCCCTAGGATGTAACAATAGGGAGACTTGTCTGGCGGAAGAGGAAGAAAAGAAGGAAATGTCAACAGTAAAGAAAAGCTTACAGAGTATGTATTTGTTTTAAGACTTGTAATTCACTGCCAACATTGGGTGAGGTTGAGTTACAGCTTTATTTTCAGTGCACATAGGATTTCAACCATGGATGGTCCTGCCAGCAGAACCTCAGTTAGGAGAGCTGTTTGTGAGTGGTCTTCCACTAATGGGGTGTTCCTGCTGCTAGAAGTAGGTGACAGTTCTCCGCTTTCAATGGACATCTGCCCCAGATGTTTGAGGGACCCTCCCAAAGCAGCTTGAGGCAGCATAGGGGGTTGCAGAAGGAGGGGAAGCCTATCAAAAAAATCTGCACCACCCATGTACTCTAGCAGAATGTCTACTAGATCCCAGTTCCCTCTAAGGAGAAGGGAGCCCTACCATTCAAGGAGGGCTAATTCGAAACCAAGTCATTATCTTTTAAAAGATCTAGGTGTTTAAGGGAAATTATGTTTTCAAGTACTGAGAAATCTATATTGTAGTTGGCTGGGACCAAGTTCGTTTCCTTAAATTGATGACGTGTTCTATATTTTCAGGGCATGGAGACAAACAAGATAAAACCAAACAGAAGGCTTTTGTGGAATCATATTATAAATGTGATGAAAGGTACATACCATATGCTTGTGAAAATCATCTTTAAGGCAACCAGTCTTCTTCTGTATAAAAAAAGATTATTCGCTTGTTTTTCTTCAAGTGATTACATGGCAGTAAACTTTGAGAAGAGTCATAAAGAATGTGAATTGAGTGTAAAAATGCACTGCTTTATTTTAGTTAATTGTAGATTAAACATATACCTGTTTCCAGTTTGTGGAGAATGAAGAAGATGAAAGACATAGGGATATATCTTGCATTACTGTCAGTTATATTAACATGGGGTCCTTACCGTTCCTTCCAAGCCTCTCTGTCCATTGTTCAGCACCCTTTAAAGATGAACATAGATTAACAGTAACAGTATTTAGTAGATTGCACTGATATGTTGTGCCTTTGCCCATTATACCTAAAATAATACTGTGGTCAAATCCTTTTGAAGTGAACAGGATTTGAATGACAATTATGGTGGCCATCTGTTCTTAACTCTCATTGGTTATATAAACATGAAAAAAGCAGTAAACATAAAAAGTAGCAAAATATTCAGATGTACAATATTTAAGTTAGCTGCCACAACAGTTATAGATCCCATTTTAAGTATGTTTTATAATTAATCGTAAAGCAACAGCAAAACCGAAATTGCTAAAGCAACTTGATGAAACATTAAACCAACATAGTTGTCTTAAATAGTTTTAAGTTGTAAAATTGTTTATAACAATGTGCTTTAATGCTGTAATTCACCCTGGGACCTTAGGGTAAAAGGCAGGTAATAAATAAGTAAATGATAGTTTTCTTATGCAAAAAATAATATTTGCAACCTTGTTTAGATCTTGCAATTTCTGTTTACTTTCCAGAAGGAACACTGTATTAGATTTTCCTCACATTGAGGTGGTCCGTAAAAAAGAAGAAAGGAAAAAATTACCTGGACACACTTGTAAGGAATGTGAAATAGTAAGTTAATTATTTTTCCTTGATATCATGGACCTCATTCTGTTTATTCAATAGAATAATTTAGGTATCTCATGAATTTCATATACAGAGACTTATATCTGTAGCATAGCTGATGAAATGGTGCAGTGTGCATTTAACCAAGGTATGCATGACCCTTATTTTTGAATATTTAGCTACCTGCTTGACTATAATATGTATTGGGAAGAAATGGAAATAACAGAGTGCAATAAAGACTCCTGATTTTGAACAGTGCAAAAACAGAGAATAGATTAAAACTGAAAATGCCTGTGAAATCTCCTGGACACTTCTATAGGTGCACAGGGTCTCCTGCAACTTGAGATTTACAGTTTTTAACTCATGCTTCCGAGGATCCCCTGACATCAGAAGTTGCTATTCGTATGGGGTGAGGGCTGCAGTTGGAAGAGAGCCCTAGACACTGCCTACATAGTTTTAGGATCTAAAAATAATAATAATCCATACTAAGATTGAAATTGACCGTTTATCATCACAAGGGAATAATACATATTAATAATTTATAAACTGCTTTTCTACTTTAAGCATTTCTCCCCAGTCTTAAGTTATTGCATCAAATAACTTGATACAAATTTCATCTAATTATGCTGTAAGCAGAGTGGATAAAAATCAATGATTTTTTTAAAAATTAAAAAAAAATGGATTTTTAAATTTAAATCAGATTTTTTAAATCGGATTTTAAAAATAAAATGCTTTTGAAGGAAAAAATCTTTCTAAAGATAGTTTTCTATTTAAGTTACATTATAGTCCAAAGGCTATTCATCAGGAAATAAGGATTTGTTTAAAGTTTTTCATGTGTGCTAAAACTCAGTCTAAGGTGTTTTTTTAAAAAAATATTTTAAAAAAGTTTAATCACATCGGTTAACAAACATAGATACATATGCTATAATGTTATTGTTTTAGTTAAATAATTTGTTTACACTGTTATTAAGTAAATGATTATTTTTCTCCTTCCAATAAAGTACAGCAGAAAAGTTGTCCAGATATAAACAATAATTTCATAATTATCTGTCTATGTATTTCTGATAGTATAACCAAATCAGTAATTTTTGATGTAACTAAAAACTACTCTGAAAATTTATTATTCCAAAAATGAAACCTTCATCTGGTAGTAAATATTAAGAGGATGCCATCAAGGTTGAACTTTTCTATAAAAATGATTTAAATCAAGCCTTACTGACTAGTGATTTAAATCAATTTGATTTAAATCAAATCCACTCTGGCTGTAAGAGCACATGTAATTCATTCATTCATTAATGTATTCTACAATTCGTTGGGGAGCATAGATGAGTCTTCTACTATGTAAGAGATTCCATTTACTGTTTTTAACTTGTATTTCCATCTTTCTTATCTATTCTTCCCATTTTTTTAAAAACACACTCAACTGTATGTTCCTGAAATTAAATATTTTAAAATAAGGAGCTTAATACAAACTTAATAAAAACTTTGCGATACCTTTCTGTATTGCACATAGCTTAATCTATAGCCTACTGTGAAGCTTAATTTTGTTCCAAAATATGTGAAATCCAGAAGCCTAGAATAATAAGAAAGCAGCTCTGTGTCTTGTGCCAAGAGCTGTGTGTGAACAATTTTAATTTCCTGTCTCTGCACAGTGCAAGACTTCTCTTTAAGAACTTGTCTCTTGTTAGATTTTGGTGAGTTACTCATAGCAGTGACTATGAGATTGGAAACACATGGGGAATATTTTTTATAATGAAGAAATGTTCAGAATAAAGGCAGAATTTTAAAACACTTACAGAAAGAGGCTTTTAATATAAGCAGTCCAAGCTAACTATTTTCACAAAGGCAGGTGGAATTTCAGCAGTAGCATTGCACCAAAATAATGGGATGTGAGGCAGAACCATAGAATTTGTAGAATTAGAAGGAACCACGAGGGTCATTTAGTCCAACCCCCTGCGATGCAGGAATCTTTTGCCCAACATGGGGCTCAAACCTATGACCCTGAGATTAAGAGTCTCATGCTCTACCAACTGAGCTATCATATGGGTTGACTACATTCATTATTTTGTACAGCCAATATGATAGTGTTTCGTGTTGTTTGGTTAAAAAAAAATCCTGCCCCAAAGGCACCTTTTTTGGTACACTAAGCTTCATAAATGAAATAAAATCCTAAGAAAAGAATGCAGGGCACTGTGGAACTCTGCCTAAACCCTTTCTTGAGATTATTATTTTTTAAAAATAGATGTTAGGTTCCTCTGCTTTCCTCTTTTCTTTGTCGATGGAAGTAGGGAAAACTTAGGGAATGGCCTTAAGGCCCACCATTACCACAGCAGAAAATCTTAGGTCAGCTGAATGTGTGAACTGACTCCATGGATAAGCACTGCATGGGAGGTGATGTGAATGTGTTGTATGTGATGTTTGTTTTGCCCATGCATTTCATCCCTTCAGTCACCAGAACTTGAATGTGTAAACCAGCCTTTAAAATCCCACACGTTTTCTAAGCACCGCTCTTCAGAAACTGATATTTTCTACTCACTGCCTACATGATATGCCCCTTTTGGCATTATATATTGGACCGTTTTTATGATTCCTCAGTGTTTGGAATTTGCAAGCTGTTAGATTTCTAGTTCAACTGAAGCAAGAATTTAGCTTTAAGAAAGAGATTTCTGAATACATACAGACAATGTGGTACTGCACAATATCTGTATCATACAGTTCTGACAGGGACCATGGCTTGAAGCACAGCATATTATCTTAGTAAACGCAAAGGGGAGTAAATGTACTCCCTCTTGAAGTATTATGGAGCCTTCTTAGAGAGCCTTTATGTGTGAGTTTGTAGCTGTTATTCAGGTCAGTGGGGATATACTGTACATTGTTTTCGGAACCTTAGAACTGTCAAACTGCAAAGAAGCTAAAGGTCGCCTAGACTCAATACCCTGAAGCAGGAAACGGTGTACCAAACTTTTAAAGAGGAAAAAGATTGTAAAACACACCTGTTCTAAAATTCTAAAATAAATGAAAATCTGGCAACAGACATCCCATTCTAAAGGAACATTAATATATTATCCTGTTAGAATCAGTATAGACATGAGGTGAAATGGGGAGCAGGAAGGACAACAGTAACACTGTACCACTGTCAGGCCGGAATTGGTGAAATATGCTGCTGAATTCTGCACCAGCTGAAATTTCCAAACACTCACCCAGCATCACCCTCTGGAAACTACCATCCAAGCAGGATCGGAACCACCACAAAGCAGTACCACCTATCCCTAACTCGGGCAGCCACTCCAGAAGGATACCATGGTTGGTGGTATCAAAAGCTGCTGAGAGGTCAAGGATAATTAATAGGGACACATATCCCTGTCTCTCTTCTGACAGAAGTCATCAACCAAAGCAGTTTCTGTGCCAAACCCTGGCCTAAACCTTGATTGAAATGGAGCTAGAAAACCACCTTCTTTCAAGAGTGCCGGGGGGGGGGGATAAGTAAGAGAACCTTTTTGGGGTATTCTGATTCAGGAGTTATTTCTTAATACTGAGTTTCTGCAATATCTCTTTAGTACTATGCAGATTTTCCAGAAGAGGAGAGGGAAAAGAAGTTAGCTGCCTGTTCAAGGCATCGGTCTCGCTATGTTCCTCCTGATACACCAGAAAATTTCTGGGAAGTCGGATTCCCATCCACCCAGATGTGTGTTGAAAGAGGCAAGTATGTGAAATAGTGGCTTAAAAGGTGGTACAGTCAACTAACAGACACAGATCTGTCTTCTTCATATTCAGACTTGATCGTTGAGATCTTCTGATGGGGCTGTTTTGGTGGTCGCCTAGACCCCTGAGGTTCAGCTGGCCTTTATCAGGGACCGAGTCTTTAGTGGGACAGGCACTGCCCTGTGGAACTCCTTGCCACAAATTTGCCAGGCATGAGCCTTGCCAATACAGGTTTGGCAGGCATGATCGTTTTTAGACATATTTTTAAAACTATATAATTGTGACAGGACTTTAAAACCTGAGATTCTTTGCCAACCAGCTCTTAACTGCTGCGTTTGATGTTTTCATTGTAATACTGTGTTTTTAGTCTGTATACTGCCTTGAGATAGTTTATATGAAAGTGCAGTTCACAAATATTAAAATTAATGTTTCATCAGCCAATCGGGTTGTATTGAACATTACAGGAATCTACAGTACCAGCCTACAGAACTACCACTGGGGGGAAACTGGGCCAGATTCAACTAAGTACTTTCACTAGTAGGAGCCCATACAAGGGCTCCTGTTAGCACAGAGGGGCTTTCCCCCCTCCCCTGCCCATGTATGTCAAATTTGGCTTTGAGAGGGTTGGGAGAAAAACCAGAACAGCACGTGGGACGGAGGAGAGAGGTCATTCCATTGGACAAGCAGAAATGCTTGCATTGGTGGAACATGTTTTAGTGTGACGTTGAATTCCTCCCACTATTTTTACATTTATTAAAGTATTTCAGATACTTAACAAAGTGTTCCCTTTACTTAGCTACCCACCTGCCTGATAACAGAACTTAGGATTGTTGATGTTTCAGAATGAGAAACAATGGCTGCATTGCACTTCATGGTAAACCAGTTACTAGTTTGCTATGAACACATAAACAACACCTGCTTGGCTCCTTCCTGGCACTAAACAATGATGCCTGGCTTAGTGTTAAGTCTGAACTGGAGATCATGGTTTGATTTGTTTCAGTCAAACCAGAGTGTGAAGGAAGGGTTTGTTCTTTACTTCCTGCTTTCTGTTTGGTTTGCATAAGCCAAATGGTTCAAATGTAATGCTAAGTCAGGGATTTTGTAGTTTTTTTGTTCACACTATGGGGGCAATGAAACAGGAGCCATCTGTGCATCTGTTGTAAACAATTAATTATGGTTTACCATGATGTGCAAATGTGACCAACTTGAAATAGTTTGGTGGGGAAAAGAAAAAGAAACCCAGCACATAAATATTCAAGAAAAAAATATGTTTTGTATAGTTTACCACTGTATATGTAATCAGAAGTAGTATTCATTGGTGGAATCCTCCTTAAATCAGTTTCTAGTTGCTGCAGTACACACATTCTTTATCTGAATGCAATCCAGGCATTAAATGATCTCCCAGTAGATTAGTGCTATACTGCTTTCATATGCAGGAAGCCATGAAAAAAACTATATCAATCCCATTTCCTTTTAAAGAGTATCTAGAGATCATCAGCTTCCTCATAAAATACCTCTTGTTTAGTTTAGAGTTTTCATGCTAGAAGCCTTTCAAGCACAAAGTTACTCTTAGGTACCGGTATTTAGAATGCCATTATTTAAGTGGGTGTACTTGAGAAAGGCGCCTAACTTTTTTCACTCTGAACTGCCAGTGGCACTTCACAACAAGGAACAACTTATTGAACTAACATTTTTATGCGAGGAGATGGAACAGCAGGGAGCCAATTTGTCCTGTCTCTGGAGCTCAGCTCACCTGTTTTACTAGCAGGAAGACTAGACAAGTCTCAGGCATTACTCGTTTGGGACAGATAGAGTCTTTCCTGTTCTGTACAAGGGATGCCATGTCCAACATAGGGACCTAGCAAAGCCCAGACCTCCCACAAACTTTCTGCAGAGAACTGCCAGTACCAGTTGGCTCACTTGGATTTTGCTAATAGGGGAAACTGAATCCATGTTCAATATACCCCATGTTCAAACCCTAAGCCAAGCAAGATTTCATCATCAGGTGCATAACCAGCATTGTGCCCAGTGTGTCAAACTATTGCTCAAAAGAAACATTTCTTATAAATAAAGCTAGGACAGCTTGTATGACATAGGTATGTACCAGATAATTGTCTTGGCTGGGGTGCTATGGAAACTTAAACTAGGACAGCTAAAATAAATGGGAGCGTGGTCATTTATTTCAGTGGATTGTACTGGTAGTCTTTGGGGTTTTTTGCAATATCATTCATGTCTCATGAGAGTTCATCAGTGTTTTAAATGTATTAGTTGTGCACCCTGTTAAATATTAATACATACATTCATTCATTCATTAATCTTTATAATAATAGCAAGTGATAATATTTTCAATTTATTTAGCACTTTTCCTAAGTGCTGGAAGTACATTACAAACATACTTTCAGAAACATTTACTTGGTAGACTCAATATTATTATCTCCCTATTGCAGACACAGGCCTGAGTCGAAGTGATAGTAACCTATGTCGCCCAATCAGTCCATTCCTGTGGTGAAAAATGAACCAGGGACACCTCCACTCTAAGCTTATTTTTGTAACCACTATAGTATGCTAGCAAATTGTTTCCCTGTTTCAACAGAGAAAGTTACCCTTACATCTGGAACTAAAAGCTGTGCCACAATAGCGGTTAAGAAGCTTAAAACGCCAAATAACACTGTTTGGTATGCTGACCACAATAGTTTGGTTGCAGTAGTTCCACAGGCATACGCTTCCTAATCACTCCTGGCTGAAATCCAATATACTTCTTTGTAATCCTGGATCAGAAGCTTATTTCAAGTACAAACTTTTAAAAGAAATGTATTCTAACCAGATAAATTGTTAAGAGCGCAAATAATTTCACAAATTTGTGAGTCGAGGCCCTGCTCCCCGCTTAGTGATGAAATAAGACACATGGACACAAGCATTTTAGGTTAATGGGCTAAAAAAGGCCACAACTTTATTGGTTACAGAATGTAAGTGGTATTAGCTTAGGCACTGGATCTGAACAGACTATACTTGACTCCTGCCCGCTCTGCAGGGAGTCACACAAGGGTTAACAACCTGTAGGGGGAGCTTGTTGATGCAAATCAACTGGAAGCTTTCCCCTAGAGTCACCTGAGGGTCATGCCATGGCCCTGGCCCACCACCTGGGCATCAGACAGGAACCACGACCGCCAAATTCCTTTAACGGAATACCCTTCAAGTGGAGGGGTAGGTGATGGCCACAACCTCCCCTCCAGTACACAACGCATTTTCCAATGCCTAACCACCAAACCTTACAAAGTTCTGACGATGTGCTACGAGGTAGGCGAAAAACCAAGTGGCTGGTGCCAATCTGCCAAGTAGAAAAAATTCCTACCAGGCCCCTTGGACAACCAAGGTGACCAACCGAAGTCCATAGCAAGGTCAGGTGCAGAAGCAAAACCTAGAGGGAGGGCAGGCAGGTGATCCGAGGAAGCCAGAACAACAAGGCAGTGCTTGTGTGCCCATGGCCATTTTTAAACAGCTAAACCACGCCCCCCCAGCCAGCCGGATTGACTGGCTAGGGTGCGTGACACGGGCACAGGACTCCAGTGACGCAGGGGCCCGGCCATGCCCCCCTTGCAAGCGCGGGAAGCGATTTCCGCTCACACCACCTCCCCTCGGGGAAGAGGAGAGGTTTTTTCACAGACAATGGGCAGATTCTTTCCATTTTATGTGTATGAATCCTGAAATGAGAAACTTCAGTAACATTGAACTTATTTTCAAAATAGTCCTTAAACTTTTAAGAAAAACTTTTCAACAGAATCATATAATTGTAGAATTGTAGAGTTGGAAGGGACCACAAGGGTCATCTAGTCCAGCCCCCTGCAGTGCGGGAATCTTTCACCCAAAATGTGGCTTGAACCCACAACCCTGAGATTAAGAGTCTTAGGCTGTACTACCCAAGCTAACATTTCTCCACTATTTTTTAGGAAATGGTAACGATTACAGTGGTACCTTGGGTTACATACGCTTCAGGTTACATACACTTCAGATTACAGACTCCGCTAACCCAGAAATAGTACCTCAAGTTAAGAACTTTGCTTCAGGATGAAAACAGAAATCGCACAACGGCAGCGTGGCGGCAGCAGGAGGCCCCATTAGCTAAAGTGGTGCTTCAGGTTAAGAACAGTTTCAGGTTAAGAACAGACCTCCAGAACAAATTAAGTTCTTAGCCCGAGGTACCACTGTATATTGCTTCTAACATTAGACTTTTCGTATGGACACTTTTTTACAATTTTTAATATAAAAATTTTAAAAGCCACTTAACACTGAAATAAGCAGGAATTTCTCCCAGCTCTGTTTGATAGTGCTTTCTCTTGCCCAAATCATGTGTTGAAATTTCGTTGTCTTTTTTTTTTTTTTAGGTTACATAAAAGAGGACCTTGCTCCCTGCCAGCGTCCTAAAAGAAGACAGCCTTATAATGTGATGTTTTCTCCAAAAGGCAAGGAGCAAAAAACATAACTTGAGGAATAACCTTTTACAAATTGAGAAATCCTTTCATTTGTTTCCATAAATATTTAAAGTCAGTGAAAAAAATAAATCCATCTGAAAATCATGGTACCTAAACACAACTATTTAATGTATATATATTTTGGGTTTTGTATATATGTTTGTGTCTTGTCCTGATTTTGCACCTTGTAGTTTGGAGGACCTGTTTTCTGTTCCTTTGGAGTCTGCAGTTCATCTCCCTACTGGCTACATTTACATGGTGTAAGTTGGTGTCACTTTCGGGGGCCAAGCACATTGCAGCTGCTAACTTCTGGTCTAGGAGATTCCTGTGAACTTTAGTTGGAACTTTAGAGGGTGCTTCCATGTTGCACTGGATAACTTAAATAATTTGTAACCACTTTCCTTTTGTAATAATTTTTGGAAAAAAATCTAATAAAAATGGATTTTCTTAACTATGACTCTTCCCACCTGCTCTTTCCCAAATCTTTTATTTTGGATTTAAATACTTATTTGTCCAACAGGTGCATTAACACTCTTAATTTAGCAGATGTATTATTAATCCTACACCATCATTACAAAGCCCCCCTAACAAATACAGCAAAAATTCGAGACAAAAATCTGGCTTGCATGCCACTGCCTATGGTTTACCACTGGGATGAGGAACTTGTGGCTCTGCAGATGTCCCTGAACTACAGCTTCAAACATCCCTGACCATTGGCCACTCAGCCTGGAGCTGATGTAAGTTGATGTCCAACAGCATCTGAGGACAAGAGGTTTCCTATGCCTGATTTAACTGGACCTGCAGACCAATAGGAGACACCTATTTTGGGCCAAAGGTTCCCCACCCTTGTGTGGCATGGGCGTAAAAGGGAGGAGCAAAGGAAGTTGAGAGCCTTCCCATTTGTGCAGTGAGAACAAGCCATAATTTGGCTTACCAGGATGTGCAGACCACACCAAGGCACTTGAGAAAAAGCATCACTTACATAGGAAAAAACTCAACTACTGGGAACTTTAAAATGAATACAATAATTTTTCATGCTGTTCAAAAGTATTAAATGCAGTGTTCCCCATATCAACACCTGAATAAAATGCAAAATCAGGCTGCTAACATAATTATTAAACCATTACCACTATGACTAAAAAAAGTATTCTAACTACTATTCATACTATCTATCCAATTATTTTGTGCTAAAGGTGGAGGAGTCATTTAAAATACACCATCTATATTTTCGTGTTCCAACCTTTGGCTCCTTTGTTAATTTTTTAAGTGTAGCATGTGCTACACTTATGCTATCCTCTGCAGGTTGTTCTTCCTACAACGTATCTCTAGATGCTTCTTAAAGCTGCAGTCTTCTGCCTCAATGAACAAAGTGGCCATTGCCTTCAAGTAAACATGCATGACGTCTCCTGCTCAGGTAGCATATAAGTTAGAGTAGAAGGACTATGAAGAGTTGAGTCTGAAAACATTTTCAATGGGTATTTGCAGTAACAGAAATGAATCACAGGACTGCATGTGAGATCAGTAAATTGGTGCACCAAATTAATCACAATCAAGATTGCTTCCTCCCCTCAGTGTTTTATCAATGCCCATGATCTGCAGTGGTAACATAGGGGAGGGGAAAGATCCTGGAACTGCATGATCACAATTCTGGAACTGATTTTTTTTGGGGGGGGGTTGCTAATCATTTCAGCCGTTTATTTTTTTTGGGGGGGGGTTATCACTATAGACAATCTGACTGTAAAAGTGCCACTATTGTTTTTGAACCACAGATTTGCTCCTTCGAAACCCCCTGCTTACACCAGAACTCAGAAGAAATGGGGTGCAGTGCAGAACAAACTCATGAAATAATAAAGAAATGAGGCTGGGGAAATTAGGGAGAGCAAACTAACGAAGCCATTTCTGCATGTATAGTGTAATGTATCAGATAATGCTGATACCATGTGCTCCATGATAGTGAGAAAAGTTCTAGAATCCTTCTCCTATAGGAAGAGAGCAAAGAGTCAGTAATAAAAACTACTCTAAGAATGACTTGACCCTCTGTCCTAAACCAAACCACTAAATTATTTACATTAGTTTACAAGTAACCTGAACTAGATAACTGACACCATGGATTACCTAGGAGGTGTAATTACTCTGGAAGTTCTCTTTCCACTCTGGAAAGAAAGGAACAAATTGAACTTGGGAAGCTTTGTCTGATTCTGAAGGACGCGAGTTCATTTGAATGTTCACCCCAGGATATTCTGGGGGAAATACTTTTACAGCAGACAGAAATTAAAAGGTGAACTCACTTCCTTCAGAATCAGACAAAGTATCCACATCATACCTTTAAAGTGTTTAAAGCATTATCATACCACTTTTAACTGTTATGGCTTCCCCCCCCCCCCCGAAATATTTACAGCACCCTTAACAAACTAAAGTTCCCAGTATTCTTTGGGGAAAGTCGTAGCAGTTAAAATAGTATAAGAGTGCCTTAAATATATGTGCGGGTATGAAAGATAGCTCTGCTTGCTGTTATCTGTGGAATTATCTGCACAAGGTTGAAATTGTCACATTAAAGCTCCCCTCCATTTTTTTGTCTGACACTGCATGAAACTCACAAAGAAGCACTTCTTTTCTTGGTGTGGTATTAAGTTAAGTAGATACCTAGTTGTACAGCACTTCCTTGTGAGGACTGAGAACTGGCTACAGTATATGGGGGGGGGGTGTGGAATCCCATTGAGAGAACTGCGGTATTCATTTAGAAATGGTAGCCTGAGATTGTTTTGTAAAGATAGCCTTCTTTATTGAAATATTTGTTTGAAATACTGTTCATGAGCCAGACAGCTAGTAATCCCTTGTTCTTTTTGCCTATGTTGCTGACATCTGTTTGGTCTAGATGCATCCTTGCTACAGTATTCCTTTTCCAAGGCAAGTTTTCTAAAGGGGAGGGTGACCTTGGTGGTGTGGGGACTGACAGGGACAACAATGAGGTACCGAAGAAAAGGGCTGGGTGTGACACACAGGCTGTCCTGCGTTCTGTGCTAACTTGTTCCCCTCAGATGTGCTGTCCCATTGCCAGAGTCAAATGAATATTCACTTGTGCTAGCAGACTGAATTCAGAATGAGAAGAGCCTGGCAAACTTCACTGAGTTATCAAAAGGTGGACTGAACAGCAAGACTGCTGAAAATAACACTGTCAGGAGACAAGAGTCCTTGGGTTAAGCAGCCAGACAGCAGGTCAAGCCAGGCTTCCAACAGAATGAAACTACTACTGCAGCTAGAGCACAATGAACATGCTTTTTTATTTTATTTCTTTTTTTAAAAAACAGCCTGAAATAAATTTTGCTCCACCAAGTTGCTAAGCAACAGCCACCAGAGGGTGCAACCAGAGGATAGCGGTTCTTGGTATTACAGCACCTAGTGGCTTTAAAACACTGGACCAGTTAACCCTTAACTTACACTTGTTGGAATGGTCCCTGACATTGCTATTCAAACAAACCACCAGCCCACTTTTTACACCTTTTGGTATCCCTTTGTTCACTGTATCCTGAACATCCTTTTTATTTATGAAACAAATAAATATGCCAGTCATCTAATTCTTGGTGTTCATATTAAATTTTGTGTAATATTGACGTTACATAGCCCATTATGTAAGTTAACATACTCTCTGCATGGAGGAGTATCTTCCTCTTCTCCTGGCCTGGCCCTCACATCCTCTCCACCAGTGAGTAGCAAGGAGATTGGCTGATGCTATGCCCCTTGCTCCCAAAATGCTGCACCTAGAAATGCAGCTGCTTCGCATAACCAGGGGTGGCTGGCTACAGGGCTGATTGAGCTATCATGTACCTATATTCAGAATATGATTCTGTGTTTTAAACTCAAGTACCTCAGTTCCCTGCACCTGTTTGCAAGGAGCGAGAAGGAAAATGCAATTATTATGCAACACTTCAAATGTAGAATAAATGCCATAATTAAAGCTGGTGTGTATGTTTAGGATACTCTTCACATTCAACGCGGAACTCCACATTAAAAAGGTAAAGGTAAAGGACCCTGACAGTTAAGTCCAGTCGTGAACGACTCTGAGGTTGCTGCTCTCATCTCGCTTTACTGGCCGAGGGAGTCAACGTTTGCCTGCAGACAGTTTTTTCGGGTCATGTGGCCAGCATGACTAAGCCACTTCTGGCGAAACCAGAGCAGCACACGGAAATGCTGCTTACCTTCCCGCCAGAGCAGTACCTATTTATCTACTTGCACTTTGGTGTGCTTTCGAACTGCTTGGTTGGCAGGAGCAGGGACCGAGCAATGGGAGCTCACCTCATTGCGGGGATTCGAACCGCCGACCTTCCAATCAGCACGCCCAAGAGGTTCAGTGGTTTAGACCACAGCGCCACCCGCCACATTAAGGGAACCCAAAGAAGGTAACACACTACAACGTTGTATCTCCCTCAAACATTTGAAGATTGGAATAAAAGTTGGTATTTATGTTCAGCACCCTAGATAAATTGCAAAACAACCTGGTCTCTAAAGCACTATACTTTACTAACCAGTATCTCTGCTTGCACTGAATATTGGTTGGATTTGGCAGACATACATTAATGGATATTCATGCCCATCATTTCTCCTCTAGGACACAACTAGTGTAAGTTAAATACAGGTTGCACATTTCAATAGCTTTTGCAGTTACACTAACAACTAGCTTTCAGGTTGACTTGACCCAATTGTCTTTTGGCCTGTGCAAAACCAATCTGTTCTTCAAAACTTACTCTACACATGTAGTGTAGTTGTGCTTAAATGTACAGCTATGAACAAGCCTTTGGTCTGTGCATGCAGCCCCCATGCAAGAAATAAAACCAAGAAACATATACCGGTAATTGTAAAAATGGAAGGAGATACCAGGAATGTATCTAAACCAGAGCTTTGCAAACTGTGTGTCACAATGTTAGTATGTCGGCTGCAGTGTGTAGGTGTGCCAGGTGAATGCTCCCCACGCTCTTCCCAGGGCTGGAAAGGGGTTAGTTTAACCTCGGGTTTGCTAGTAAAATTGAATTATTGTATCGCAAAATGATGCATGTGTCACCAACATGAAAAGTTTATAGAGTCCATTCCTTACAGACAAACTTGCTGTTTGCTTTTTCAATTTGTTTCAGTGCTATAATCATAAGCTTGGGCATTTTTTTAAAAAAAGTATGTTGAGCTTGCCTGTACAATCATGAAAATTATACTGTCTACATCAGGATCTTTTCCACCCAGGAACACAACACTGGCAATTAGAATAATTTGGCCACTAAAGCAGCAATCCTATGTACTTGGAATAAGCTCCACCCAACTCAGTAAGACTGGTTTACAAATGAATGCACATAGAATTCGGCTGAATGACAAATAAATTATAATCTCTGAATTGGTAGCCTTAATTTTCTATTTCATATATAGCAACAGCAAATCCAATTATGCATCCTTCTGTAGCCAAAACAA